CCCAGCGTTTCTGCCTTCTCACGCTTCCCGTCGAGCATTCGCAACATTGTTTATGAAATAAGTGTTTACGTAAGGTCATCACTTTGTGGCAGGTATTTCCCAGTGAAACGTGATCAGAAGCGAAATGACGGCGTTGAGCTATAAATAGCGAGAACAATTGCAATGTGCCATGACAACATCGAAGGACACCATCTTTCCGGGATGTCTTCCGGCTTTTTCATCTCTAAGGTGAAAAAGTGCCCTACTGAGACATGGAGAGCCCTCTTTTAGAAAGAAAAATAGAATTTTAAGGTCTCATTTAGAAATTTGTGTAGATAGGTGTATAGGTAGTTGCTTTTGGGAAAAGAAAAGTGTGACGTATGATGGTTTGGATATATGCTAATGCAATGTGATTATGCTATTAATGTGAATGAAATGTGATTATGTTACCATAGTATTGCGCTGACTATAGCAAGAGTAATAAAGCTTTGTTATATTCTAATGTTGGAAAGTAGCAAAATTTTTCGTTACTTTTATATTCCTGCAGGCATTTTAAAATTTTGTTTTCTGTTACTTGCTCTATGTGCATACTACTGCGATAAAAAAGTATCGAAGTGGTTTATTTAAAATGCCTGCTTGTAAGGCAAGCCACATGTATAATGATTTTAATTAGCGCAGCTAGAGTAATTTCCCTGCCCAGCTAGTAATCAATAATAATAAAAATTAAAATGAAGAAGAACTGCGTTGTTGCTTTTAAATTGTTTAGGTTGTCAATGAGTTCCGGGCAGATTAAATTTGAAAGAAAAAATAAATAGATTATGCAAATGGAGCGTATGGAAGATAAAAATATTTTATTTCTGGTAGTGGCAAAGCGTTGCTTTAAAATTGTTGAGATTTTTAATTAAATTTCAAACACAAATATCTTACATTTTGCCTAGTGACAACACATTGCTTTTAAATCGTCGAGTTTGTTAATCAAAATGTAATTTAACTCGCACAAAACAAAAAATGATTTAAAAAATTTCTGAAATTCAAAATTCGGGTGTCGATGTGTACATGTTCGAGTGGATGACAACGTATATTCAAAATTTGGCGATTCTAGTTTCCTCCGTTTTTCGACAATGCAAGGAACATACATACTTAGAGATTTTTCATTATTTAATAATAGAGAATACACATGTGCCAGAAGTTTGTTTGCAAATAAATTCATTTTTAATGAATAAAGCGTTTCCGCGCTGGCAATTTTCAAATACAGCGAATATAATAGGACAAAAAAAAAAAAAAAAAAAAAAAAAAAAAACTTACTAAATTTTATTTTCGCAGTGGAACTTCCAGTACAACCAATAAAATTTTGCAAAAGACTTTTGAGGATAATACTTTAACAATTACAAGAAGTTTTGACTAATATAAAATGTTTATGGTACTCTTAAAAAAGGAATATACAAAGACTCTAATCATAGTATGAGCTTTACTTTTATAAACATTAAAGATTATCAATATTTTCAATATTTCAATCAAAGATAGATTATCAATATTTCAATTTTTTTTTTCAGAAATGTAAATTAAATGTACAAAATAAGAGAAATTTTCGGTTACATATTTTGAATCCATTTTCAATGGCACTTTTCATTATTTTATCATTCATTATCATTTAGAATAACATTTGTATTTTTGAGAAATGCACGTCATTTATATAATAAATAGCGTTATCAGGATCTTTTTCATACTTCGCCTAAATAGCATTTGTCATTCTATAGAATGCCTTGGTATTATATACGATGCCTAGGAAAAGTATGTAATAATTCTCATATTTTATACTTTGCCTGAAAACGTCCGGTATTATTTACAATGCCTGGGCATTCTATAGAATACCGGCGTTTCATATTCTATACATATGCATATTCTATATTAACACCAAAATTAAAATTAGTTAATAAATCCCTCTTTCTTCAGAAAAATAAATTTTTAAAATATACATTTTAGAAGCCAACAAAAGTGTATAAAAATTATCATCTAATTTGTTAATTGGAGAATATTCAAATGCTAAGTCGAATGATATCATTTCATGAGACCTTTCAGTTACTATACGTAGATAATTGAAAAAACGTGCATCAGTGATATAATACATCAGTGTTACAGCAATGTAAATTTAGTGCCTTTTGCAGATTCCAGTATAAATATCTTTTAATGAATCTCTGTCGAAAAGCATTTTATTGAATCCACATTAATTGCGACAGAATCAAGCTATATCTTTGTATCCGTCATTACTATATTTTTCAGTATACAGAAACGAATACAACAAAAATAATAGCTCGTTAATAATACATGGTAATGTAGAAATTAATAGCAGTTTATTAAAATGCTTAATAAGCATTGCATTAAAAGCATATTACTACTGAAGACGATATCGCACAATCTTTTGGAGTCATTTCTACTACATAGATTTATTTTTTCGACATAACTTTACTAAAAAATATAAGCACTTTTATATTTTTGATTTTATTGGATGGCAACAAAATGGGCCTCTCTTCTTTTTAATTATTCATAACATACAGCTTTTTCTTTTGACATGAAACTTCTGGAAAAATACAGGAACTTCCTTTATATGTTTGAATTACATAAAATAGAAATATTTGCTCTATAGCAAAAGAGGAAAATTGACCTATGTTTAACTTGCAGATGGAGAAAGTGAAATAGTTCTCTGAAATCAAATTAAAATATACAGCTGTTTTCTTCCTTTATAAAAGAACTAAATTTTAAAATCACTTACAGTCAATATCCTTTTCTTTTCCTAAAATAGTTGTTCCCTAAAATAGTTGTTCCCTAAAATAGTTGTTTTCCTAAAATAGTTTCTTAAAACAGTTAGCTTTAAGTAATGTCGTATTATCATTCAACAGAAAGACTCTTGCAGGGAGCTAGGTATAATCCTGTTTTAAACACATTTTTCTTCTTTATTGATAACTGAAGACAAAAAATGGCAAAAACTTGCAATCTGATCGTTCAAATTCCAGCATAACACCTGAAAGGTTTCATAAACTACTATCCTGGTGGTGCGAAATGTGCAAGGGTAGTAGTTTTTAAAAGGTCGAATTCAAATTTCGTCTTTTTTTAAGAAGTACTTACTATCACATACATATCATATATAAATTAAAAAACTGAAATTGCTTTACTGCACGAGGAAAAATAGTTACTTTTATATATCTACGATAAACAGAGGCTCGTGCTTACCCGTGATAACTAAACTAAATATGAATTTAAGAACTTTTGAATTTTCTATAAAATGAATTACGATAAAATGAAAAATTAATAAGAAATCATACAAATATTTTAATTTTATTTCTAAATAATAGAAGTAACCATTGTTGCCATTTAAAAAATTTGAATCTATTCTGGTTAATTAAACAAATTAAAAAAGTTGAAGAAAAAAAGATGCTTTTTTATTACTTCCGTTTTGTAAATGGCATACATTTTGACAACTGGTTCAGTGGTTTCAGAATACTGTTTGTAAGGCTGAGCTAACTGAGGAACTGATTTCGATTAAATGGTTGGAGAAGAAGTGGAACTTACGTATTATCCTAACCACCTTAATGAAATCGCCAAAGTTTCAGAATACACCAAACTCTGTCAAACACGCGAGCGACAGTATTTTAAGTAACCATACGCATGACAGTTCTTCACCTTAAACAAACAACATTGCTATTTTTGTATGAGTTTATTTATTTATTTTTTGTTGTTGTTTATCGTTGTACTCTAAATCTCGACGGTTTTTATAGATAAATCGTGATACTTTTTGTCTTAAACTCATTTTTTAAAATATTCTTCTGGTACTGGAAAAAACTGCAATAAAATTTCTGCTGAAACACAATATTTTGCTGTAAAGTCGCTGAAAGTAACAGTTGTTTTGAATCTGTTCTTATAGTGATCGCACAAAATCCATCAGAATGAAAGAAACAAAAGTCCTCTAAGTAAATTTATGGATTTTTTTAGGATAAATATCTAGCTAAAATGTATGTAAGGATTATGTTAATTTTATTAACAGTTAAATTTTAAGTTCCTTTCCTGTCAAATTCTTAACTTCAACTTACTACTTCCGGCCAGAACGTAATTTTGGAATTTGCTGAATATTTAATGAGAAGGAGCGGTATTTAAACCACGAAGTTACTTACTGAGACAGAGAGAGAAGAAACAGAGTTTCTGAACTACGCGCGTTTGCCTTTTTGGCCGCTCTCCCTCTCAAAGCTGTTTTACGCTCGGCCGTACTCAGGCCCTTGCTAAACTTCGTAGTAAAATAGGTTAAGGGGTCAACTCTCATTGAACCTTGATAGCTTCGGCTATACTTATTTAGTTAATCTTAGTTTTTAGTTTAATTCTTAGTCTTTTAAGTTCAAGTCCAAAGTGCGGACTTTATTTGTTCACTCCCAGGCGGAGTTTTGTTAAATCTTATAGAAATAATAAAGAGTTATTTACCCTTCTCTCTTGTTGTTTCCTGTCTTCGATCTCTAGCGATTATTCGCTTATCAGTTCCTAGGTTCCTCACTTCCAACATTAACTTAGAATTTCAAGTGAGGGACCTTACATGTAAAATATGCTTGTAATAATATTTTTGTGCGTAATAAACATTTTTTTTTTACATTTGAAAGACACCATCCTTTTTCTTCCGTGAAATTCGCCAAACTGCGAAAAGCTAGTTAAGGTAATATTAAGTACCGTAAGTCTTTGCAAAAGTACAATTAAAGTACAATTACTAACTGGAACATTTTTACGAAAGAAATGTCTTCTCTACATTATATGCGACAAAAAGCGAATAAGTGGTCCTGAAAAATTGTGGACAGAAACAAAAATTTATTCCTGCAAGGCAAAATCGGTCCACAAGTCGGCAAGGTTCTTCCACAATACTGGATATATGTCGAATTATTTCGAGAAACTGGGGAATTCCTTCTCCCTCAAATGAAGCAATCACACTCTTGATAAAATGGTCGATCATGAGCAAGAGGTACTGGCGATTTATTCAGACTGCTTGCAGGAATATGAAACAGAAAAACCGGAAAAGCAAGTTAGAAGTATTTTACAGTGACCCACAAATTTCATTTTGTGGATTCAGCAACAGCTTTTCATAAACAAAATGTTGTCAGACAGGAGCGGTTCATTAAGGGTGATGTGCTAAAATTAATCAAGTAGGGCTGTCCATCATCACGAGTCCTTCGCGTAGTTCATCTTTACGGAGTTCAAGAAGTTCATCTTTACGGAGTTCAAGAAGTTCATATTTACGGAGTTCAAGTACCATGTTCACCAGGAGGAAGTTCTTCGGGCAAGAAAATGCATGGCAGATTAAATGCAGCTACGGAAACATGGCTCCCACAAAGAGTATCGAAAAGGTAAACATGAACTTGATGATAACCATGACGCCAGCCTAACGTTTAGAAATGGGGCCATACCTAATATTAAGGAAATACGAGAAAAAAGAGAGAGAGAGAGAGAGAGGGCTTTTACGTATAGGTAAGTAATATATTGAGTTGGAGATATTTTTTTTATTGATTAAGCATTTTCTGCTAAGTTCAAAAACTTCTCTGGTAACTGTATATTTAAAGTATTTTGATTGACATCTGCTATATATTATTAAGCAAAGGAAAGAAAAATTAAAATTTTTAAGAAGTGCTTAAATTGGCAGTATAATAAGTAGCTATACAATTTGATTAAACTTAAAAGGTAAATTAAATATTTTATACATTGCCGAACGACAACACTCTAGAAATCGCATGAAAGATACATGAATCGTATGTTTCTGTAATGGCAACAGAAGTCGCGTGGATGATAAATATATTGTCGTGAAAAGTAACCGATATATACGTATAATATTTTAATAAAACTTTATACGTTTATAGCTAAATTAAAGCTACTTTGCTGGCCTAGACTTAGCCAGTATTTTTTGGCTGCAACTCAAAAAATAAATAAAAAATTAAAAACTAAGTTAAATAAAAAAAAGAAAAGAAAATCTAAAAGGTTTCAGATTTTAAATTACGCCCAAAGGGGCGATTTTTTAACATTTTGTGTGTTACCTTTATTTATTAAATATCATGTTTTTCGCACTTAAACCATAAAATTTAGTTCAAGAGCAATATCGCAAAATAGTTTGAGCATATCTTTAGAATTTCCGATACCCAGTTCCGCGCCACTGGAGATAAAAATGTTTTTTCTGTACAACGTTGCCATTGCTGGCTTTAAAATCTTTGAGCTTGTTAATCAAAAATTAGTTACAAAAGTTATACAAAATAGGAAATCCATAATAAAACAAATTCTAAATTTGTAATTTGGCCTTCCATATGCCCATATTTGCAGTAGGATTACGTCACTCAAAATTCGATGGTTCTATGAACCGTTGTTTTATTACAATGCGAGAAATATATATACATTTATGCAGATTTTTCATTATTGAATTCCTTAAAATATAATGCAAGACTCTAACATTGGGTGGCAACAGTTTGAAAAGTGAAACGGACATTTATAGTGAACCAACGCAAAATCCCAAAACGAAAACAATAGTCCTTCAGCGACAAAGCTCCTTTGGACTTCAGCCGAAGCTGCACAGAGATAATTAACGCGAGTTGGCTCTTAGCCCTACCACCGACGTACTCAAACGAGCAATTAATATGCACGACCATAAAACAGCAAGCTTAAATATTGACTAAACAACATGGTAGAACACGCTCTGTCTGAAGTAACTCAGATACCAGCTTAAATAGTACCTTTCTACCATACTTTTGCATATCACGTGAAACTGAAATATCATTTTAGCAGGAAATGGAATAGAGAGAAGTTTGTTCAAGTTACTTAGCTTTTCTAACTTCTCTTTCTATTTTTGTTTTAAACAAAAAATATTCGTTACAACTTCACTAAAACTCAGACAGTATGTCAAAAAACCAAACTATTCTTTACTTACACGCACTAATATTTTTAGGAACAACTTCTGAAATTAATACTAAATGGAATATTACCTTCGTAATCCGTTAAACTGAGGTAAAAGAACTAAAAGATTTTGTCCGTGGTAATTAAAATATGGCGTCAGAAATTTCTTTTATTACCCGCAATAATACTGAAGATTTCTATAAAAATTATTACTTTTAATTTTTAATTACTTTAAATTTTGATTTGTAAGATATAGTGTTGAAAAAACAGCACAGTTTTTAATGATTAAAATATAATCTAAATCTTTGTTGTTTCTTCTGGTTTATTTTTTGAAATCCGTTATTATTTGAAGCAATTAGAGGTACATTAAATTTAAAATATACGAAAAATCTTACATTTTGCAAAATGGAAACATTCTGTAAACTGATTATAAACGAAGACGCTTGGAACATAAATTAAAGACATTATATTTTTCACAGTAACAACATTTACCAATGCAAGTAGATGATAGATTCGCGGCAACATGACGTAAAGTACCGTTCCAACCATTTTGGAAAGTTTGTAGGATGTTTCTAACTCGAAATTTGCTTAGAAGCAAATATTGGGGTTACTGCTATATTTGGGACATAAAAAAAAGGCCTGTGATGAGAATGCAAGGATAATTTAGAAACATTAGTATTTCACTCGGGGGAAATACAAAGAATATCTTGAGATGTCTTGATTCATCGTTGTTAATACTCTTCTCTCATGGGTTGCAGTGAAACGTCCCATTGTTTTCAACGAGGAAAACTGTTCCTTTCATTGCCATTTGGGCTCACAATAATAAAATAACAGGAAGCCGTATTTGCTTTACTTCTCTTGACAAAAAGGACATTATTCTGCACTTCATTCACTTTTTTTATTCGGTTTTTGTAACGTGTACCGAACATAGAAGTTGAAAGCAAAGTAGCAAAAGTAAAAGGATTCTCATGCAATTAATGAGTAAAAGGAGAGATTTAGCTTTTTTCACCAATTGAGGTGCTTATTGCAAAAAATGTTTTATAATTCCATTTGCCAAAATGTTTCCTTAAATTTTCTTAAGTAAAAAGATAGTGTAATAAAAAAAGTAAAAGAAAAAACTGAAGCTCATTACTACGAATAAACGATTATTCTGGAATGAAGTACTAGCACGAGGCTGAAAAATCGTGTCTTTTTATTCATAATAAAAGGGTAAATGTTTTTCACAATTATCATTCAGGTGCATTATAAAATATATTAAATCAAATATTATATCGAATCATAAATTATATCAAAGCTACGATAATAACAACAAACATATCTGGGGAATACAAAGGTCTGCAAGATAGCATTAAGTAGTGTAACGGAACTGCGCATTATGTGCATTGTGCAGCACTTTGTTTGATATAGTTAGAAATAACATTCCCTAATCGTTCCTTCAAGCTACATTATATTTTAATTTAAAAAAGACTGTATACACTTTCTTCTGCGTCAATTACCCATTACGAAGCTTTGGAAGCTAAAATTATCCAATTCAGTTTAATTTCATTGTTAAGAGATTAAATGATAATAGGTAGAATATGCAGAACACCTGCAACAATTATCCGAAATGGATACAGTGAAATGCGAAATGCCTTGCTTCGTTCTTAAAATGAATCTCAAAATCTTTCAATTTAAGTTAAAGCAAAATGTACTGAAAAAAAATCAAACCAGGAATTTGTTCTAACGTTTGTTATTTGGGATAAATACTGACGAGGATGAATGCATCTAGCAAATCCATACAATATTCTGGTAATAATTTCAACAGCTTGTTTCTACAAAATTTATTGCAATGCATACGCGATTTACGGTTTAAATATAACAAAACTGAAAATGAAGCATGAGAAATATCCGAATTCAAATTTTATGTTAATTTTGAAGAAAAACCTGGGAGTAGGCACAATGTTTAGATAAAAATAAAACAGATATCTATTTAATTGGCCAAACAATCTCTGAAATCAATATATATTCTACGTTATTTGTAGCAGAATTGATATGAAATGCAAAAAGCACGATGAAATTAACAAAATATTTCAAGTTACTTCCTACAGAATTTGAAGATTTAAAAAATGTATCCTATTGTATAAGTGAAACAAAAAAAGGTTTACATCAATGACATTAAATTTGAAGAGGAACAGGAAGTGCGAACACTATTTTAATGGCGAGAATACATAATTTGAGAAATGATATATGGTAGTTGATGTAGACTAGCAACGCTGCATAGTTTTCTCCTTATTCTGAAATATCGTTCAAAAGTTACTTAACTATGCCTGTGAGTAATAAAAAAAGAGAGAGATTTCCTTCATTTTAAAACGAGTTAAAAATTCAAATTGGAAGAAAAAATACCAAATGAAAATCTAAAATTAGGTAATAAAGAAACTTTAGTGCTCTTTATTGCGTAATTTTAAATTAGGCTTAGATTTTAAAAAAACTTTATCGATTTTAAGGGCGATCAGACGTCTTGACAAAAATGCCTTTTGCTGTTGAATAAGAGGGATTTGTACCTGATTGTGCTGTAAATCGATAGAATTTATCGATAGAACCGAAGCCTAAACAAGGTTGCTTTCTTGCATAATTTTAGATTTAAATTTATTTAAGAAATTCAACAGGGTTAGGTCTTTAGGAATGTCTTGCTATAAAAAAGAGATACCCTCGAACAGTTAGATTGAGAGCATATTAATTATATGAAATGAATATTTTTATATAGTTCTCGTTTTTATACCAAAAGCGCTTTTATTGCACAATTATCATTGCATTAGTGCATGTATTTTCGGTTATTAAAAAAACTCAAAGGATATGATTTAAGATTTCACAAGAAGCAATTTATACAAATAGGATCCCAGTTTGAATTTGTATAGGGATTAGTTCGGTACTGAATCTACTTGCTTAACTGAAGAGCATTAATCTATCACTTGGCATAACTAATGAAAAATTAATATGTTTTAAAATCAGTAAAATGTGAAAATTTTTTTTAATCGTATCGAACATTTATTTGTAGTTCTACAAGTAATTTTATTTTGGAATGTATTACGAAATTTTATAAAACATGGGTTTTGCGCATTTTATCTAAGAGTTCTGAATAAAGTAAATAAAAAATTCTTTAGAACATGAAAGTTCTAATTAATTCTTAAAAATTAATCAAAATTTTCGTATTCCTAAAATTTTAGTTTGAAATAAAATTTAAACAGGGTTTTAAAAGAATTACTTCGAAAATCATTAAAAATATTTGTCGCATTACTTTTGTATAAAAAAAGAAAGAAAAGCGGGAAAAAAAGAAGTTTGGAGTAAACAATAATCTCGAACTGTAAAAATGTTAACCATTCAGAATTTGTCTGAAGAACTTGAACGTTTAAATCGTTAGTGAAGGAAATTTCTTTTTAAACTTAACATAATTCTTAACAAGTCTTTTATTTATCTATTTATTTTACAGATTAGTTTAATATTGCCTCGAAATTCACACTACTTTTATATTCCGTTGGTAACAGTTTTTACAAAATTCTTTAAGCTGATATTTTTCTTTTCTTGTTAATTCTCAGTACTAATTACCGTATTTCCCC